TGTAAACCATTGTGTACTGTAATGCTATGAACTAGTTCCTAATAAAGCTGTCTATGAGTTACGGGTTGGTTTGGCGACCCAGGGGACAAGAAAACAGCATATATGTTTCCCGATGAACTACTAGTTTCAAAGTGGAACTTAGCCTAGATATATCCGTCCCCCTAAGTCTCCAAGACATCTCGGCTTTCCCAAGCAAACCTGTCTCATGATAATATTACTAAAAGCATACACTCACTGATCAAGAATTGCTTCTCTTATCTTGTCCATCTCATTTCACATCCGATCCGAAGCAATGGATAATATTCCCAAGGAAATCGCCATCGCATATTGTTCCCGAGACTCACGATGCTCCACCAATCCTTACCAAACTCGGTACTAATTAGAGAAGGAATTCAATACCATAAACGGAAGTCCTAAGCAAATGCTATGCTATGGCTACGGCACAGGATCACGGCTACTGTCACCTGGCCTTGGTTATCTGAAGACATGTTTGCCGAGGGGCCCAGGTTTCACTTCACCTATCTTTTACCAAGGGAGCCCGCGCTTTGATGTTGCTCCAGCATCGAAATCTTATCAATCATGGCTGTTACTATACCAAGTCCTTCATTCAAGGTGGCTCTTGTACAGATGAAGCCAAAGGTCAGCCACCAACATATGATCCCTTTATTTGACTGACACTTATATGCTAAACAGCCCCTTGATGCTGAACATAACTTTGCACATGCTGCCGAGCAGATCCGCATCGCTGCTGATCAGGGTGCTGCACTAGCGGTACTGCCAGAATACCATCTTACCGGATGGGTCCCCGAAGAGCCATCTTTCGCACTCTCCCCTGCGGACGCTGGTAAATATCGAAAGAAATACCAAGACCTCGCTGCCGAGCTTCATATTAACATTTGCGCTGGCACATTTGTTTCCCAAGCCCCCCAATCCGATGATCAACAAAATGCTGATGCCAGACCCACGCTGTTAAATACGTCGGACTTCATCGATCATAACGGAAACCTCCTTGGCACTTACACAAAGACGAACCTCTGGATACCAGAGAGACACACGTTAACATCATTTGTCGATCATGCTAAGAACATATCCAAAGATGATTACACTGCCCCCAATCCCCATCAAGTCATCGACACCCCTCTCGGCCGAGTCGGTATCCTCGTCTGCTGGGACCTTGCCTTCCCAGAAGCCTTCAGACAGCTCGTTCTGGCGGGCGCCAAGATCATTATAATTCCTTCATACTGGACGGCGCTTGATATGTGCAAAGATGGTCTTGCATATAACGCCGACTGCGAGAGGATGTTTATACAGTCTGCTCTAGTAACCAGGGCATTCGAGAACACTGCCGCTGTTATTTATTGCAATGCCGGTGGACCGGCGGGAGAGGGCTTCTTTGGCTGTAGTCAAGTTGCACTCCCTATTGTTGGAACGGTGCCTGGGAGCTTTACCGATGGCGAGGAGGCTATGCGTATCTTGGATGTCGATATGAAGACGGTGGACATTGCGGAACGTAATTACCAGATCCGACAGGACTTGGCCAGGGATGATTGGCATTATGGTTACCTCAAGAACACGGTCGCGAGGCTATAGGATGTAATACTTGATACTTACTTAGTAACTTAATGTCAGATTGTGCAGTTCTGTCTCAACCCCTCTCGCATGTAACCAAGCGGCCATACACAGAAAAGAGATTTAGTACCTAGAAATTCAACTTCTCCGTAGATGCAATCGCCTGCGGACAAGGTTGCTGATAATTACCACATTAAAGACCGAGGCGTCGCTTATTGCATTCTTATCTCTAAACATTAGGCCGATGGAGAGTCATTTGATGTCTCATAAATATATTGGTAAATTATTACAGTCTGTCCATGTCGCAATAACCTCGAGAAAGATACAGCTTTTAATAGAATGACAAAATCCCACGCTCTTTAACTAAACCAATACCAACACATCAAATCGCTACCCACTATCCTAGCATCGCTATACAGTAATCCCGTGAAGTACGCTTATTCATCGTGCTTCGAGGTTGAGCTAGAGGAAATTTCTTTAGGGCCCCTCTGTGACACTGTATCTGTCACGGGCAATTCTTCCCCCAGAATGCACTCAAGCTTAGGTCCCTCATAAGATTTTCTCTTTCCCAGCCAAAGAGCCGCTACAAACACGACGAAAATGCCCAAAACTGCAATCACATAGTCTAAAGCTGTTAGCTTGTGGCCAACTTGTTTGCCTGGAGTGACTTACTCATGGTTGATACGTTGACGGGAATTGCAGGAGGGAAGCAAAAGAACTGTTCAAGATATATCAGCATCAGGTCTCAAATCCGTCAAAGTGAGATACTTACAATAGAGGTTACAGCCACAAAGATGACGGCTGTGTAGTTCGCGACGTAGCCTTTGACACGGCCAAGAGAAAATTCAGGGGGCTGCGAGAGCACCATATGTCGACCTCGAATCAGAAGGATAAGCACAGGGGCTGCGTATGAGAGATTGAGGAATAGTGTGCAGCTTGCAATATAAGCATTGAAAGCAACCTCGGGGCCTTCAGGTACATTAGTGGTGAGAAGCAAATGGTTCAGAAAAGAAACATACCCAGATAAAGAAGTCCGAAGAGAAGGTTGAATATAGCCTGCACGACAATAGCTCGAACAGGAACGTTGAGTTTGGGGTGAAGATGCGAGAGACTTCAATAGTTAGCCATGTTTGTACAGGAATGGAGATAGGATGCTTACTATCTGGAAAAAGGAGTACCACCGTCTCGTGCCATGGCCCAGATAAGACGACTGCCGGAGGTAACACAGCCATTGGCACCGTTGACGAAACACAGTGCAACGGCAACAGTGAGTACGGTTGCAGCAGCTCGGCTGTTGGTCGCTTGCAGTATCATCTCTGTAAGAGGGCTTTGAGTAGGCGATGCGAGCAGCAGATCAAGGTCGACGAAGCAGAATAGCATGACGATGATGAAGAATATTCCGCTGAGGACAGTTAGGCGGAGACTTTTAGAGGGTTGGTCAAAACTTACGTAACGCCTCCTACCAAGACTGCGGCAACCATGGCTTGGGGGGCATCCTTGGATGGTCGAGGCATTTCTTCAGTCATATGTGCCACAGCATCCCAACTTCAGCATGTCAGCTATGCCTGGTAGAAACAGGTGCACTACTTACCCAATGAAGCTCAGAGCTGACTGCAACAGTCCAAGCATCCAAGCCGTGCCATCACTCCATCCAGTGGTATTGGAGAAGTTGGTGAAGACGAACTCTGCGTCAGTCTTTGGAGAGGTAGCTAGAAGGACGATACTGATGACGACGACGCTGAGCAAAGACCAGTACACTAAGAAAGGTCAATTTAAATGGAGGCACATGTGTAGCTCGACTTACAAGCGCCTTCGTTCCATCGGTTCAGGATGGGATAGCCAAAGATGTTGAGGAACACGCCAACGATGGACACAGCGACGAACATCAAATACGTACTCCACTGGGTAATTTCGTAGCTACCTCCAGAGCCAACGACAGCAGCCGCAGCGAGGAATCGAGCTATAGTATGTAAGCAATTGCTTTGTCGGTGACGTTAGTTGTATACCTCCGAAGTAGGCTGCAGTTGTGTTGAGAGTCAACCAGCCAGCAATATTTGTCCATCCGACGAGGAAGCTCTGTTAGAATTAGCGATATGCATAAAAGGTAGTCTTCGTAAATCTTACATTGATACTCTTCCATTTCTTGGATGAAAGAGCAAAGGAATAGTGATACTGTCCTCCAGCTGTAGGATATAGAGAGGCCAATTCTCCAACACTTGCAGCCAAGCAAATGTTGCAAAGAACGCAGAAAATAAAACCATAGACGAAACTAACAGAGCCACCGGACGGCATTACTAGACCTATTGATCCAGCAAGAGAAATCCATGTACTGCATTCAATTAGTTTGCGACTTTCATGTGACGCGACGGCACCGTTCTCCTTACTTGAGAATGGCAAAAGCCATGCCGATCATGGTGATCTTTGAGAACCTCTTCTGGAGGTGACCCTCCTGGGCCGGTGCATCGCTCACCATACTTGCTGCTGTCAATTGCGGTAGAGTACAGACGAAAGGGAACAGAGACGAGGTTTAAGCTTTTACCCCAGACCAGACCTGATATAAAAAGCTGGACGTTGGTCTTATCGCGCGCGTTGGTCGGTAACTTACTCGCGACGGGCGCCCAATCAGCGGGTAAGGAGCCTCCGCCTCCGCGTTGCGGGGGAAATTGATCAAATGATGGGCTAGACCAGAAGTGGTAAACAATAGCTAAGGAAAACTGGCATGAGGCGTATTTTTAGGTTCCATTGTCCCGTATTTCTCGGCAGATAAGGCTACGAGATAAAGGGACACCCCTGTTCTAGAATCGGATCATGGGTTTAAAGGGGGGCCGAAAAGGAGAGGATGAGGTGATGATAGGAGAAGTAATTCTAATTGATATTGATAAGATGGAGATTGGTATTCCTAAGGATAGTGCTCAGGATATTGCTTTCTTGCAAGAATAACATACCCTTACTGTTAAGTCTCTGATTGGTTCGTTCTATAAAGTGCAGGGTAGGCGAAAACATACCCGCCATGGTCTTGTGCTCTGCAACTATGTTATAGTTGAACATGCCTAGGCTTACTGTTATATACTTGTAAGAGACTTACTTAGGTAAACCCATTTTGTTCTACCCTAAAATCCTTGTCTTGTCACCTAGCATGCCTCTCTACCACCTTGCAACTGTTCTCAAATTGCATACGACACTTTAAGCTATGTTACAATTCTTCATGACCTAGAGTAGATGACCACACAGAATTCATATTATTTATGTCTTGATAGAGGTAGGAGTATCTAAGCAATGATTTTTATTTATCGCAAGCCTGAAGCTAGGCAAATCATTTAAACCAATCCTCGTAAAATTGCGACAAAACAGACATGCAGCCTTTTCAAGTTTCGAATGACATTCCGAGAAAAGGCGTAACTTCAAGCACTCCGGATCATAAGTAGAAGGACTCACTCCTTCTTGCCAGAGGTTTTCTTAGATGCCTCGATCCTTTCCTCGATCTTAGGAATCTTCACAGTCAGTAAAGGACTTGCGTATTAGACTACGTAGACATACCACACTTTTCGAAGGAGACGAGTTGGCCTCTTGCGTCCATGCACCGGCATGGGCAACCAGGATATCTTGGGCTTTTTTATGGTTGTGCTTGATGGGATCTAGAGCCATTTTGAAAGAAAAGGCGTAATCGAAGATGTGTATTTGATAAGAAACTCGTAGTCTTAATGGCTCAAGTAGTAGAAGATAATTTCTAGAGTTCTATTCATGCTTGTCTTCAGAATGGGCATCTTATATAGTGAACAATTGAAACTACTATGCCATGAAGCCACTCTTTAGATTGTAGGCGTCTCTCTCACCTACGCCTCCTTACGAAACCACAATGCAGCCCCAACGCTGCTCATACACCTGTCATGATCTTTGGTATTGCCAATTCTGGAAAGAACAAACTTTGGCCCTCAGGCGGCAAAGAGATCTATTGATGGTTGATAGGTTGACCCCAAACTAGGCTGCCTCATCACAGTCTCTGTCTTACTCAAGCACCAGCTCATATGATATTGCGTAGGATCCAGATCCGGAAATTCCAAGCTTTCAGTTCCTGGAAAATGAGACGAAATGTGATAGAGGCGCAGGACCTCGTCCTGCTGATCGACCCGAGTAATCAGATTACGAGGTGTTTCCCCTGAATACCTGGGGCTTGTCTACAGAAAAAGAAAAAAAAAAGGCCGCCAAAAAGGCGACAACGCTTCATTGGAATTACCTGATACGGCATGGTGTGCGGTTTGCCACTTTGGCCAACCGTCACTGAGCTGAGATGAACCGCTGAAGACGTTTCCAAGCCACATTCATCAACATTGTCAACGGCCAAGCAGAAACTCGAGACAAAAGTTTGGAGTTACCATATTTGGCTTAGTTCAAATCGGGGGGGTTGAAAGAACAACAATGCCATGGCCTCGTGTCCAATTAATGGCCAAAGACAAGGGTCACTCCAATCTTAGACTACATGCCACTAGCGGGAAATGACGTGTTGATTGATTGCTTTTTGTTGAGGCAAGAGGATAGTATCTGGAATGGAAGACTGTAAGCTTAATTTACCCTTGAGTAGTACTTCATATTCAGATGTGTAGTGTAACTCTAACCTTTTTCCCATCAAGAGCCAGTCTCTGCGGGTACCCGTTGCAAGATTTATAGCTTGTTTCCCTAGTCATACAATAATGATTCCACGAGAGCTATCCTTTATCCACAGCCGTCCTCCCCGAGCTGCTGGGCTGTCAGACGACGCAGTGGACGAGCACAAAGATCTAATTGGCGATCTATACTTGACCCAGAATTATACTCGAGACCAGGTTATCGACTACCTAGAAGTAAATTTGAGTTTCACCATATCGTGAGTATGTCGTTCTCCATATAATTTCTCTGCTGACGTTGTTGTCTGTAGCCGAGATCAATTCTCAAAAGCAACGAGACGCTGGGGTTTTCACAAGCAGCCTCGAGGGGGTCTCTCTATTCAATCTACGCCGAATGAGACGACCAGTCAAAGCACGCCTAGCGAAATTACCAGTAACGATGTATTGTGTTCGACCACCGTGGATCACTCTAGGGACCAAGGTCTCATATTTATAAATGAGTCAAGTAAACGCCCCCGAAGCGGCACAAGCTCCGCCAGTCGCAGGAGTGATATCACAGCCCACGGCCCATCCTCACCTCTTCCTCGTCGTCCAGTGAAGCGACCGAAACCCAGAAGCGAGTCAGGCGACTACACTGCAGAAACCTCATCTGACACACCAATCAATCTCTCTATTAATTCAGATTTCGTTTTTACCCCATTGACTGCACAATCGAGTCCACGCTGTCAGTACACGTACGATGACAAGCTGTCGGCAGAATACCTATCTTGTTGCTATCGCTACACCAAAGCTTTCGGCTACTACCTCAAGATCTCGATTCCTTTTCAATACAAAACGCCTTCGGCCAAACAGCGACGCGCCAGGATGCTCGATATGGCAAGGACTGCCAAGAAACGAAGATCTTGTGAGATCGTAAGGGTGATGATGGAGTCTGAGCTCAAGAGGAGCAAGGACCCTCTGATTGGAGAACAAGACAACCCTGACCCTTCCGATGGCGTTGAGATGAGTCCCATGCAGTCCTTCCTATTCCACCGCCATCTCGCGCAGATTTATGCGCATAGTGGAGATACCAGTCTTGAACAGAAACATCTTGACAAAGCCAGAAACTTCACAAAGGCTTTCGACACACTTGGCCCAGAATCGATAGACCTTTGGACATTGCTCAATTTTCAAGAACGGAAACATCATGTTATTCCAGAGGGTCTGCTGAACTCACTCGAATGGGACAACAAATTGTTCGCATCGGATATCGAGCGTTGCCTTACACATTGTTGGCGCACGCTGAGAGATACTCAATGTCCAAAGCCCTTCCCAGGCTATGACAAAGAGAGGCTTGAAGGAATGAACCCGACCAAGATGAGTGATTTTGCTCTTCAAAAGAGGCCAATGTATCTTTGGAGGAAATCGAGTTTCCTATTTACCCACTTTTGGAAACACATCCAACTGGAACGTGAATCTCCTCTTCCCTGGGGCCAAAGCCTTCCTACGATTTCCGCGACACACTTTTTGATGATTATGAGTAGGATCATCGTTCAAAGGTCGCTTCTTGTCTCTGAAACCAACAATGGTACACTGGGACTTCAGCCCTCAGACGTGTCACTCTATTGTGAGATTATACCAGCGCTTCTTTATGATAACTCATTCACACCAGGACATGCCAAAAGGGAGTTTGCCACCCAATTTGTTGAGCATTACTCATGGTGTCCACCATCTGCTCGCAAAAGTGTCCTCGCTAGAGAAGTTCAGACACATCAGATGGAAGCACTCGAATCAGTCTTGGCCACTAGACGCAGCCGCCCATCAACTCCTACTTCTACTACATCAAAGGAGATGACAGCTCTGAAAGAAATTCCCGGAAAAGCCCAGCGTGCATCGACTGATAACGAGTTTTTGGACTGGCTGATACAGCAGCACGAGCAGCTAGCCTCTACTGACCAGAGAGATACCATCATGCGTGTCGGAGAGGCCCTTTATCCCCCGTCTTTCGGGTCTTCTAGTATTTCTTCTTATCTAAGAACATCTCTATCTGCCCATCATATATACCTGAACGAGTTGAATGGAAACCCTACTCTCGCAAGATCCTTGGCGTCTCGGTCTTCACGGTCTTCTCAAGTGTCAGGCTCAAGCTCACTTCAACGGTTCAAAGCAGCAGCGCTGAACAGAAAAGACCAAACAGTTTCAGCTCTGGGGCCTGGAATTCATGATCTCCTCCGGCTTTTGGAGGATGGGGAGCTATCATGGGAAGATTGCCCGTGGGATGATTATTTCCAGTCATTGGAGCGTCTCGAGCCCAGAAGGGACTTGAAAGTTGCCATGCCAACTCTAGTAGAGGAGGGCTCGGTTACACCAGAGGAGGAAGAGGGAAAGTCAACGATAAGGTGGAGGATAGGAAGATTGCTCAAAGGTAAAGGCAAAGCAGATGTAATTGGCTTGGAATAGTTTTCAATGGCTTCAGCAAATGATTACTGCGTCAGTTAGAGTAGAGCCCTGATAAAACACATAGAAGGAGCAAAGAACAAACTTCAAGAGCGACATATTCTAGCCTTTGAAGCCCGGGAAACAAGCATTCTCTAATCTCTATAAAGCAAACTCTCACAGTCACTCGCCATTTAAAAAAACCATGATATGATATTTGTCGCTAGTTATGCGTAATTAATAAGGGAAGGATATTGGAAATAGAAAAGAAAAATCATCGACTCGGCGAAGAGTCCGTCTTGGTAATTTCGACTGTCGTTATCATAGTCTTTGTGATACCACTTTGAAACTGGCCCCTGTATCCTGCATTGCCAGCACTCTCATCACTTGACCTACCCTCGATCTCTGTCTGCACTGTCGTCCTATTCATCACTCCAGAGGGACTCGCTATCCTATCTCGAAGCTCATACTCCTGTTGACCAATATTGATGGCCTTTTGACTGCTTGTCTCGTCATCACCCCTTTTACCACTGGACAAGACGTGCCAGTTTTTGCCACTGCGCATGGTACCGCTTCGTAGAGTACCGCGACCATAATTTGTATTGCCTGTTGTTGGCGTCTTCTTGGAATTCTTGCCATAGGTGCTGCCAAGGAATCTTCGGAACAACGGCCGCAGACATGGTAGACTGCCTGCGATGATACCGACGTTGAGCTCAACGCTGGTCCAGATTGTGATGTTGCGAGAGTCCCATAGCCAGTCACCAAGCTTGCCGTAATTGGTGACGTATCCAAGCTTGGTAAAGGCAGCTGCACAGGCAAAGACACCGAGACTGAGAATGCCAATAAGAGTTACTCGTGTGCGGAAGTGCACGTTGAGTTTCCAAAGCATGGGTGTCGGAATGATAATAGCGAAGAGGAGGTCAGTCAAGATATTAAACGCGGAGTTCGTGTACGACAGTGATTGTAATGTCTTTTGTGACCAGCATTTCGATGGAACGGTTGGATCCCAGAGGACACGGATGTCTGTACATTGAAAGATGACAGTCTACAGCAGAGAGTATTAGTTATTGAACCAAATGTCGTCGAAGATGCACGACTTACAAAGAAACATCCAATCGTGTAGATAGACATAAAGATCATGATAGACAGGATCAACCATTTGTAGAACTTGGTAGACGCGATTCGAAGCAGGGCACACCCGACGGACAATTTGACTACGCAAATTGCTATCAAGAAAATGGGCTGACTTATGAAGTTCAACTTCATTCCTGTCATGTAGACATCTGGGTCAACATCGCCAATGTGCTTTCCACCACCATAGGCAAGCTGTGCAAAGATTACACCTTGGCCTGCCCAGGACAGTGCGATGGTGAATATCATGAAGGCATCCTAAGTGTAGGCGATTAGACGAATTCAGGGACCGGAAGAGTGAAGGAAGGAAGGGAGAAATAAACGAGATTAGTTTTTGGCGCAACTTACATCCCAGCCCAGGTTGCGAATCATAAACAAGCGCACGTAAACACGAGCCAAAACAACAATAGTCGCCAAGGTGATCACCAGAACCGTAGAAGCAAGAATATCGACCGCTCCATTCTCGTCGGGATTAGAAGGGAGCTTAACCTGAGGATCCATGATGGCCGAGGGAAGGATGTACAAAGACCCAAGAACTTGGGACGATGGAGAAGGGGCGGGATAATAAGAAAAGAAACACGCATGGGAGAGGGGGCAACCAGGGGGTTTGTCTCTCGATCCTTTACGTCGAGTGCACCACGTTTTCTACAGGGTGTTTAACGAGCTAGAACACAAAATTTCCACCGACCAGGAGATCAAGTCAAAGAGTATGCATATTGCCTCGGCTGCGAGTCCACTAGAAGCCATCTGCCATTGCTTTGGCGCAGCTGGACCACCAAGTCTAACCAAAGATTCTACACATCTTTTTGCTCTAAAGAAGACCCTTGCCTTGCCACTGTGACTCCGGCGTTCAGGTGTATCATACGAGTTCCCTAACGGGGAGTCTGACCCTGGCCGGAGGTGATTGGCCTTACCAGGATTGGATTGATACATCTGCAGGTCCTCTGGATAAAGGACTTATGAAACGCTCAGGTCTCGCTCTTGTTCTGCATTCAGGTTATAGCCGAGGCTAATAGAGAAGGTCGAGTAATATCCGTAGCGACCAATGCGGTGCAGGTCTTGGCGGCCCACCTGATGAGGTGAGCGAGGATAATTATCTCGACCTGAGGATGGATATATTATATGTGTGATATGAATCTCTACTGCATGATCTTGCCTATTTGATCATGTACTCGGATGCAACTCCGCGATCGAAAATGGGTGGGTTATCATTGTTCTCAAAGTGAAACATCTGGGTGACATCGAGTGATTCGCGAGGGAGATCGACATAACGATCAGCAACAATCTTTTACTAGTCTAGTCACCGGAGAAAAGCACAGTAGTCAAAGCACGAATCTTTGGTCCCGTCACTAACGGGAATGTCAATGTTCGTGTCCGAGATGTTATGGATCCCAAAACTCCACTCATCTTAGCACGGAACTGTTCCGGATCATCAACCCTAGTTCTTCCCAGCGTCAAAGCGTCAATCTAGCGCTCACCTACGCTATTACTCCAGCATCGTATACTCTCCTGAAAACCCAGGGCTGTGGAATGTGACAAGAACGTTGGTTCATGGCTTCAGCTGCAGGATCATGCATTTCGCGAGACAAGACCTACCGCCGTAAGCACTCTATTCCCCTGAATTAACAATCGTCCGGTGGCGTAGTTGGTTGAACCCCTGCAATTCCACTACTAATGCAAACCCGCTGATGGGTCCCTAAATCGGATTAGATCTAAGCTATAACTCATCTGGCCGAACGAACCGAACCCCTCCCCCTCGGCAACAAGAGACGGGCTTTTACGAGTCCACATAAAAGTTCTCTTCTGCCGTTGGTTCTAGGGTGTTTAGTCAATGACCCTGCCTTCGCGTCGGGGGTAGATTCCCATTAGAGATGTAAGCATACTCACCCTAATCGAGGGGCCCTAGGTCAAGGTCCATGGGCTGGCCCTGAACGATTATGCGTGGTAATCCTTGACCTGGAAATGCAGGAGAAGGGGAAATGTCCAAGGGGATGATACAGTAGTATATAGCTCATCACATTTCTGCATCCAAGACAGTCTTCACTCACTGGTCCTCCAAGCCAAACACCGGTGCTGCAAAGAAGATCCCTACCCTTTCTTGTCGTCCCTTCTTTCTCTTGTCAAGTTGCCATCATGCGTGCTGGTTTCATCTCCCTCCTGGCCCTCAACGCCGCTGGTGTTTTGGCCGCCCCCCAAGCCACCACCGTTGACTCCTCTGCACCCGAGGTCACCAACCTCGATGAGCTCGCTGATCTCGCTGCTGCTGCATATGAGACTGCCCAGGACCTCGCTGGGGATAAGACCAAGCGTGCCAGCACCTGCAACTGGAGCAATGTCCGTGTTCGACGAGAATGGTAAGCTGGCCCGTCCTTTTCTAGTAGCATCTTCTCTCTGACATCTGTTACAGGGGCACCCTCTCCAAGACAGAGAAGAAGTCTTACATTGACGCTGTCAAGTGTCTCCAGTCCAAGCCTTCCAAGTCTCCTGCGTCTTTCGCCGCTGGTGCTAAGACTCGCTTCGATGACTGGGTCGCTGTTCATCTGAACCAGACTCAGACGATCCACTACACTGGCAACTTCCTCACATGGCACCGATACTTCACTTGGTTGTATGAGGAGGCTCTTCGAAATGAGTGTGGCTATAAGGGAACTCAGCCTGTAAGTAAACTCACCATACTACAAACTACTCTCACTAATATTCTGGTAGTACTGGGACTGGGCTCTAACTGCCCTCAGCGGCCTCAATAAGTCCCCTGTCTTCGACGGCAGTGACTTGTCCCTCTCTGGTGACGGTGAATTCATCCCTAACGAGCCCGATATTATCCTCGGTGCCTCAAGTGGTCTCCCCCCGGTCTACCTTCCCGCTGGATCTGGTGGCGGCTGCGTCAAGTCCGGTCCTTTCAAGGACATGAAGGTCAATCTGGGCCCTGCCGCTCTTGACCTTCCCGGCGGCGGTGTCGCTGCCAACCCCAACCCTCTGGACTACAACCCTCGCTGTTTGAAGCGTGATCTCAGCGACGCCGTCAACAAGCGTTTCGCTAACGCTACATCTGTTCTTAACAACATTCTCAAGCCCAAGACTGTTCTGGACTTCCAGATGCAGATGCAGGGTATTCCCGGCACTGGTGACATTGGTATCCACGGAGGGGGCCACTATTCTCTCGGCGGTGATCCCGGTCGAGATGTCTTCACTTCTCCCGGTGATCCTGCTTTCTACCTGCACCACTCCATGATTGACCGTGTCTGGTGGATCTGGCAGATGCTTAACCCCAAGGAGCGTGTTAACGGCAAGAATGCCGTGCAGGGCACAAACACTTTCCTCAACATGCCTCCCAGTGCTGAGACTACACTTGATGACTATGTCAATATTGGTTGGGTTGGACCTGAGCGACAGATCAAGGATCTGATGAGCACACTTTCCGGACCATTCTGCTATGTCTACCTGTAGAAAATAGCAGAATGATATCTTGTACATAGCACGTATTTGTCTTCGTCCGCTAAGCGTTTTTATTATTAGACAAATAGATTTTAATGCTGTCGATTGAGTTCTATCTGTGATCGTCTTCTGGGTTATGTCAGGACCCCAGTAGTTCATCATCGTTTCCCTAAGATCTTCGCCCGCATCTTCCATAACACCAATACTACCAAAGACGGGGTCTTGGGTCTCATACGGCTAACTTTGGAGAGGCACTTAGCAACAGGGTATGGTGGTATGACCGTGCAACCGTCTCTTGGCACCGGGTAAGCGTTCAAGCGAAGCTCGTTCAAGTTCCAGACCCACGGGTTCTCTCCGTTCCCCGTGATAAGCTCGCTTGCCGGGACATCTTCCTCAAGCAGTTCTGGATGTAACCCTAAACAACATGTCGTCAAGAAAAGTGCCAACTGGTTCTTGGCACATGCTGTCATACCCCAGCATTTGTGGTGCATCATGCCACTTACCATCCCGAAAGAGACCACGGGCTGATGCAACCCTTTCCCCGCGAAAACCTTGAGGGTGGTATTCGCTACCCCTGTGGCGTTCCCCTGCATTCAGCAAATGCTACCAAGCCGCCGTGGCTTTTACAACCTGGCCCTATAGATGTCCTCTTATGCATTGCCAAGTTCGGGCTTTTGGATTTGTTTGCTCGGAGGAATGCTTCCTAGTTTCTCTTGTTCTCGGGTAAAGTGGCCGGCTCGGCGTAATGCACCCTTGCATGGATTTAGACAACTTTGTTACTCCGAAATATCGAAAACTATTGTACTTCTAACCCATCTAAGATTTACCATAATCATAAAATCCTCGCCCGCTCTTAACGCCTAGATTACTTTCCTCCAAAAACTTCTGAAGATATTCTCGCGGTGCACTTGGGATGTTTCCTCTCGCATCCGCATAATGCTGCTCGATATCCAGAACAACATCTAAACCAACGACATCCATCTGCTCGAAGGGCCCTTTGGGTGTTTTCAATACTCCTTTGAAAATATTGTCGATCTCTTCTGGCGTTGCAGCGCCTTCTGAGGCTGCTAGGAGGGCTTCTCTCTTGATGGCTGCCCATATCCTGATGGAATTGGATTAGATATCGTAGAAAGCGAATTTTACAAGAGCCTACCTGTTGTAGATGTATCCCATTGAGGGTGACTTCACATGAAACGGTGAGAATCCGTGGGCTTTGCATTGCTCCATCATCAGTGTGATGTATGAAGGATTGGTTGTTTCATGGCCCATGATCTCGATTTCTAGTCCTTGTTAGCAACGCGTTTTGTAGTTCGTCTTACGTATGACTCTTACCGGGCGTCTCAGGTGGCCAGTCTACACCATTTGAGTCAGTATGGGTATCTTGCCAGCTGTCGAACACTTACAAGAATGAGCGCTCAGAAAACGCGTCTCATTTCTCAGGTTAAGACCCTTCAATATCTCCGAACAGGAATAACTACTCGAGTTTGACGCAATGATAGTATCTCGCGGAGCAAGTGCATCAAGCTCTGAGATGACCTTTGTCTTGAGCTCGATTTGCTCAGGTACACACTTTTCAGTCAGCATTTGACCATTTGTGATATCAGAGTTGCTTACCTCGACCACTAACCAAGCAGCCTGAAGAGCTTCGCGCAAGCTTTCGGGAGAATGCGTGATGATTCTACCCCAAGAAGCATTTCGGTTGCTTGAACTTTGTCGAAAGTCCTCAATGGCCTTGATGCTGGCTTGAAGTTGGGCGTCTTGGCCGTCGACCAGATGGACATCATTTCCTCTACTCGACCACTGAGACAAGGGCGTTAGCAAAGAACCCATGAAGGACAAGATAATTATTGAGGTGATACGTGCCATGAACGCAAGTCGTCTTCCTTGGGTACCCGCTCCGATCAAAGTGACCGACGTCCTTGGAGTTGATGTCAGAACCATGTTGACGATATTGGGAGAATGAATATGTTTGAAGGCTTGGATGGCATGTATCTGACTGAGGAGAAGTAGTTGAAATAGAAGCATGGAAATAGAGGTCCGAGTAGATCTTACTCAGTGACTGATCG